CAAGCCAGTACGCGCCACGTACAAGCCCTAAAGCGTATACGCTTAGCGTACATCTGAGTACACCCCGCATACTCAGCAGGATTGGACTTCAGTGTTTGGGCAATCTTTTGGTCTTAGTTGTTTTGGGCCCTGTTGGGCCATTAGGTTTTGGGCTGATAATTATTTTGAGAGGGCCCACAATGGGATTTGGGTCCAATTTGGAAAATTAGGCCATGATTTGGGCCTTGGATGGATAATTAGGATTTGGGCCTTTTGGATTGTGAGTTTGGCCCTTAGTCTTGGACCAAACTAGGTAAGGGGTAAAATGGTCTTTTTACTCTAATTATGGACTAATAGTTATGGATTGGAATCCAAATTATTAATCGGATGTTATTTGGTAGATAGCTCGGGGATTTATCAGACCAACAGCCAGAGATCTTTCAGTGTGATTCAGCAGTTCGAGGTGAGTTTCCTCACTGTGTTTTGCAGGTCGAAGGCACCAATGTCGGCCCATGATTATGCTATGTTAGTATGCTAGGTGACTACGTGACTCTTGCATGTGTTATGTACTTGTATGCTTACCGAGCGCGGTTTTGATGACCATCCTGTATGCTATGTATCTTTGTGATTATTGCATGTGTATATGTCTATTTGATATATGTTATATGTATGTTGGGCGGGGCCCGATCTGTATACCGAGCGGGGCATGATGCCGGGCGGGGCCCATTATGTGTTTATTATGTATGATATATGGTATTTTGGGGAACTCGCTAAGCTTTGTGCTTACGGTTTTCAGTTTATGTTTCAGGTACTTCCAGTTCCAAAGGGAAGGGCTCGGGATGATTACAGAGCACACACCACCTTGTTCCGCGTTTTGTGATTACTCTGATTTGATATGATGTTTGATACTCTTGTTTCACCTGTATTGTATTGATGATGTTTTTGGAATACTGGTTTTATTTAATTAAGAATGAAATTTATGGGTCTTATTTTTGGGACGTTACAGATAGCCTAAGTCTGGTTTCTTTTTGTACCAAAGTTCATAGGGATTTATCTTGTTACTTTTGGTTGGAACTCTATTTAAAAGATAATATGCAGTTAGTATGGTTTCTCCCCAGAAACCATCACTCAAACCTGAGTAAGACAACATAGAGTTCACCATTTCCTTTAGAACTCTATTTTCCTTTCAGAAATATCATTTTGTTGAGGAGTATATGAAGCAGTTATTTCATGTATAATACCAACAGAATGGAAACAACTAGGATCATAATACTCTCCACCACGATCAATGCGAAGTCTTTTGATTAAATCATTTTGTTGCAATTTAACTTCATTTTTATAAATTTTGAATTTATCAAGGGCTTCATCCTTGGAATGTAACAAATATACATAGAAAAACAAGAATAATCATCTATAAAAGTAGTTATGTATTTCTTATTTCCTAAGGATGGAGTTGAATGCAAATCACATAGATCACTGTGAATTAATTCAAGCATAACAAAATTCCTTTTAACATTAGGAAAAGGTTGTCTAGTTATTTTAGTTAACATAAAAGTTTTACATTTTCTATGTTAACATCAAAAGATGGTATTAATCCATTTTTAGACATTTCAAGCATTCTTTTATAATGTATAGGTCCTAAAAGAGCATGCCATAAAGATGAATCATCAATACTATAACAAGCCATGTATATAGAATTTGCAACTTTATTGTTTACATTCAACCTAAACGTTCCATTACAGGTAATATCCAAATCCAACGAATGTACCAAACTTAGATAATACCATGGGGGGCGTTAAGGGAGGGCAAAATGGGTAGCTGCATAGGGCCCAATTTTTTTAGGCCTATTTTTATTTTATATATATATATATATATATATATATATATATATATATATATATATATAATTTAAAAATAAAAAATTTATAACACCGATAAGGGCCCTTTTTTCCAGGCTCGTCCTGTGCATTTGAGGATATTTAAATCCTCAGGACTGGCCCTGGATAATACATACTTATCAGATTCATAGACTTTTTTATATCCACATTAATTAATTACACCACCAGAAACTAAGTTCTTTCTAATCTTAGGAACATGAATAACATTCTTAAAAAGAAGACTTTTTCCAAACCTAAAACATAAAGAAACACAACCACGACCCACAACAGGTGCTTTATTATGGTCTCCCGTGTATGACACTAATCCATCATTAACTACTTCATAATCCTTGAACCAAGAGAAATCTTTACACACATGACTCGTCGCCCCCGAGTCTATCCACCATGCATGATCATCATCCTAAACATAAAATGATTCAGGAATTAGTGTTACATGATATACAACAACAGTAGTAGTAATTTCAGAATAAAATTCTGACCTTGTGGTTTTGGATCTCGATCATTAGATCCTTGTCCAGAAGTGTTTGCACCATTTTTGTTCTTCTTCAAACGACAATCTCGTTTCATGTAACCAGGTTTGTTGCAATTCCAACACACAAGTTTTGCTTTCTTGTTTGAACCTTTGTGATGGTTATATTTCTTCTTCCTTTTTCCTTTGTTGTTTTTCTGATGTTTGTCATCTTCAACCATGTTCACTAAAGATCCATGAACTTCCTTTTCTTTTCCCTTGCCACTTTCTTGATCCCCCAAGACCCTCTTTAATTCTTAAGTGACTACCAAGTTGTACTAGAGACAACTCTTCTTTTTGGTGTTTCAAAGTATGTTTAAAGTCTTTCCATGATGGGGGCAATTTTTTAATAACACTTGATACGGAAATGGATTCATCCATTTACATTTTATGTTGTTCAAATTGTCCCAAAATCCTCTTAAGTTCATTATATTGTTCCATGATAGACCTTGGATCCACCATCTTGTAATTGTTAAAATTACTGACAAGGAATTTCTTACTTGAGGCATCCTCTGCCATGTATTTGGATTTAAGGGCATCCCATATATATTTTTTAGATTCTTGATTTTGATAGATGTCAAAGAGAAAGTCATACATACCATTTAGAATGTGCCCATGACAGATGTAATCATCATTTTCCCATTTGCATCTTCTTCTAGTGCGTTCAAGGGTTTCATCCTCTATTGGTTCTGGTGCAGGAGTGCTTAAAACGTGAACAACTTTCAGGGTAGTGAGAAGGAAATGCATCTTCTTCTGCTAAGGACGAAAATCAGTGCCTTCAAACTTATCCAACTTCCCGAATTTGGAAGTCATGTATTTCATAGATTCTGCCATTGTTATTCTTTCATAGAAAATTATAGATTTCGAATGTTAGAGAATAAGGGATCAGAGTAACAATAAAATTAGACTTTGATAGATTCAAGGATCGTGTTTATCAAACACTTTTCGAAATCTGTAATTCATCCATTTTGCCTGGGGTACAAGAATTCAGAAATGGGATAATCCAAGAATGAACCAATCTGAATTATAGACCTAATTCAGATTGTGAAACACAAAATACCTGTTAATGTGTTCTTGAGAGATAGCACAAATCTTAAAATTAGATTTTGAGAGTATAAGGTTTGTAACCCGTTTTCTGGAACATGAAGAATGTTCTTATACCAAAGGGAAAAGTGGTTATGGCGGTTGCCTCCGGTTTTGGCGCAAAAAACTAGTAGTTATTAGACATAACTAACGCTTGCATCATTAAGATGTCATCAAGTGAGTTTTGGCGGGAAAATGCATAAGAATCCGTTTAGGTTTCGAGGCGCTGCTCCGAGCCCCGCCAGCGGCTCTGCCCCTTAGAACCCAACATCCAGGAGTGCTGCCCCCAAACCCCCGTATTCCCGAGTTCACATTTATCACACCGAGTGTGCACCCCGCACCTCCAACATATCTATCTAAACTCCAAAATTACATGAAATTGGAATTGGAGGAACTAGTCGAGGAGAAATGTCAAATCCAAGCAAATGGAGGGTCTTTAACTAATTCAATGGCAAAAAAGTTTCTTGAATCTGGATGATTCATGTGTGTCGGTTGGCAACACGCAAGGTATATATTTTTTCTGTTCAATCTTTGAGAGCATGCATCGATAAAGCTTGCTATAACCATGAAACGGGTTGTTTTTCATTGGAATAACTAGTTACCCATTAAGGTTAGTTGTTTTATATAGACTCTTTCAAAATAGAATCTTGCTAGCTACTAACTTGCCTTATTCAGGTGCCCGGATCAGCACTATAAACTGTCCCATATGTTCTCAAAATGAAGAAGATGTTGAACATTTATTTCTTTAATTCCCTCTTGCTGCCAAAATCTAGAAATGGTTGTTGAGTTGGTGTGTGTTGTGGGCCGGAGGCCCATTAACTATTTTCTTAGACTTGGGACAATCTCATTGTCACATATGGTTATTGATCAAAACTCGCTAAAGAGAAAACTAATAAATGTGGTTTTGGGGCTGAAAAATGACTTCAAATTGTGTTGTTCTTTTTGGATCAAACATAGAGGGAAAATGTTGATTTTAGGTTGGATTGTTTGGGACTCATCTCCTTTTAAGGCATACGTTGTAAGGAGGATTTACGATTTTAACTTTACGCAATACATTGTAACGTAAAGATGTCTTAACATAAGACAAAAGGTTAATTGCTGACAATTATCACTTTTACCGTTTATGCAAATACAAAATAGATAATGGGTGTAAAAAAAATAGGTTTATTCAAATGCGTCCTTATCCTCCACCCATTTTGAACTCTCCAGTCTCCACCAAAGCCAATGTAAACTTAAATTCCCAAAAACACTATAATCACTTTACAATGTTTAAACAGTCGTTACCCTCCCTTGCTCCACATAAATTTCGTTTTCAACAACATAAATCATTTAAACATTTTATACAAACAAAAACAAAATTGAACAATGATCAATGGTATACAACAAAACCATACAAAAATAACCTCTTAAAAAAAAATATTTCAGGAACTACTCAAATTCCCATCCAAAACCCAATTTTTTTTATTCAAAACCCACTAAAAATTTTCATCACTATCCAACAATAACATAACACTAATCTTGAATTAGGGGAATTAGGCCCCTCCTGAACCATACTTCTTACCGAAAACAATAACCTGAAGCTTATCGTAACCGGCAAGAACACCAGCACCAGCAACAGCTCGCAGGATATTTGCACCTGCGCCCTTGAACAATGATTTTGAACCCTCTTTCTTTATAATTTGAGAAAATGCATCCAAAGAGCTCTTGTATTTAACTGCTTCACCTGATGTCATCATCATTCTTCTTCGAACAGTGTCAATTGGGTAGGATGCAAGACCAGCACCGATTGTGATCACCCAACCAAGCCCAAAGCTTGCAAAAAAACTATCCTGAATTTTATAAAAATAAAATCAAATTTTTATCAGTCTCAATCAGATATTTTATTGAAAATAATGACATTAAACAATTCCAAGTGAGCATTTTGGACATAAATAGATAGAAAATCAAATACAAAATAAAAAAATTGGAGTAAGAGGTTACTTTTCAAATAAAAAAATGATTATTTTCTTTAAGCTTATAACTAGTTCTTCAATATAATTTAAAAAAAAAAAAAAAAAAGGCCTAACCTGCAAAGATCCGGTGAGAAGAACGGGCTTCAATGAGTCGTACATTCCAAAATACAAACCACGATACACGATGATTCCAACAATTGAAATGTTGAATCCACGATATAACCCTGCAATTCCATCGGTTGCAATGGTTTTCCTGTACACATCAATTAACCCATTGAATTGTCTCTCTCCTCCTTTCTTCGCAGCTTTAGCATCATTTGCTAAACGAGTTCTGGCATAATCCAAAGAGTAAACGAAGATCTGAGACGACGCACCGGCGGCGCCACCGGAGGCGAGGTTTCCGGCGAACCATTTCCAGTATCCGTCACGATCTTTCTTGAAGTTGAACATCCTCTTGAAATGGTCCTTGAATGCAAAGTTAAGAGCTTGAGTTGGGAAGTAACGGATGACATTAACGGTGTTTCCTCTCCATAACGACATGACTCCTTCGTCCTTGATTGTTCTTGAGAAACAATCTCCGATGCCTTTGTAGGGTTCGGAGAGACGACCGGATTTGATCATTTCATCTTGGTTTTGGACCAAAAGCTTCACACGCTCTATTGGAGCAGCTGCGGATTTGGAAACGGCTGCTGAAACTCCACCCATGAGGAAATCGATCGCGAATCCAGCCATACCTTTTTCAGATGGAGCTTGAACAAAAACTGGAGAAGGATTTGCAGATATCAATGACTGCAACCCTGGAGTTGAGCAATTTCCATATGTGATTTGTCTCTGAGTTGCAGCAGGGTTTTGAAAAGCACCATAATGAGTTCGAACATCTTGGGAGAGGTGTAATCGGCTCGCTACTTTACTAATAACGGCTGTATGTTGATTCTGATCGGTCATTGTGCTCACAATAGAGAATTCCTACAGATTAAGCATACCAAGAACACCAAATCCGTTTAAACAACATCATATTGGGGAAAAACGAGACATCTATATTAAACTCTAACGAGTAACGATCCCAATCGCACATAAACGAGTAACAATTGCAACAAATGATAAATCGGAGACAGAGTATGTAAGCGAAAATTGAATGTATTCAATAGAAGTTAAAACAAACAATGCAGTAGGATCTTCAACTGCGAATCATGCAAATCGACATGATTACAACGTGGATACGAACTCCGATAGCATATCCACGGTAAAACCAGGAAAAATTAGCCGAAATTTAGTGAAATTTAAGCATCAAACATTCCGGAGATGAAACGAAGGCGTTTTGATCATGGTGACTTTTATTGAAACATGTAGATATGTTTACCGATCGGAGAGAGTACCTCGGAGTTCGACGGCGGCGGAGAAGAAGGAGGAGATGTGGCGATGACGGTTGAATATGAATGAGACGAAAGAAATTTGAAGCGGCAAAATGAAGGAAGGACGGTTATATAGTGCGGTTTGATGTGTGAGATTCTGGTGTGGGCGTAAAGAATGGACGGTGGAGATTTGATGTGAGAAAAAAAAGAGATTCAAAATTGGATGCAGGCAGCCATAGAAAGTGGGGCTACAAACAAAATTTTATTCCAAAATCTATATATCTATCTATCTATCTATATCATACATCTTACATACTTATAAAGCTAGCATTTTTTCTTGAATCTCATTCATTTGAAACCCCCTTTTTTAACTTCCTTTCACCACATTCATTTGAAACTCTCATGACTTTTCAATTTCTTTACAATAATATAATAAATAAGTTAAATAATGTTCTATAAACAATAAATGGTGTTTTATTACAATGTCTTCATCCCACATCGATGGTGAGAGTAAACAAGAGAATGTTTCCTCTTCTATAAATAGGAAAGGTTGTGAAATGTTTCAAAGGGACCAAACCATGAGAACTTCCTCATGCCTACCTTTGTACGATTTTGAAGGTATTATTTGGTGAGATTGTCTATATTGGCAAGTGTCCAGTTAACTTTTAGAATTCCAAAAATGGTTTTGAACCGAATTTTTTCAGGTTTAAACCGTGTTTCAGTTAGAAAAAAAAATTATGTAGTTAGGTATATTGAGTTGAACGAAGCTGGATCAATTTGGACCGATAAAGGAATCATTTTCCTTTCACAACAAACATTTGAAACTCCCATGATTTTTCAAATTATTTATAATAATATTATAAATAAGTTACATAATTTTATATAAATATAAAAAAGCATCTACCTAAACCTGAAATTATAACTGTTTGAAAAATTACTTTGATTCAAAAGCACGAAATATATACAAACCGGGTTTCACTAGAAAAAAAAAATATGTAGTTTGGTATATCTAGTTGAATCGGTCCGAGTTTGATCTATTTGGACCATAAAAGAAGCATTTCCCTTTCACTACATACATTTGAAACTACCATGATTTTTCAAATTGTTTCCAATGATATTTTAAAAAAGTTACATAATGTTATATAAATATAAAAAAAACATCTACCTAAACATAAAATTATAATTGTTTGAAAATTCGATTTGATCAAAAGCATGAAATATATACGCAGATTATATTTTATAAATGAATTCTTTTTATAATGAACTTTTGAATCTTGAAAATACATATAAACAAACTTTCTATATTGAGTACCTAACTGATTTATGATTTTAGAATTGAACAAAAAGTTATTCAATAAAAACTTACTTTTTTGGATAGCAACTTACGAGATTATAGAAAAATGGAACTATTGAACAATAAAGAAAGGGTAAACAAGAGAAATGGTGTTTTACTAAATAAGTTGAATAATGCTTTATAAACAAGAAAGCGTGTTTTATTACAATATCTTCATCCCACATCGATGGTGAGAGTAAACAAGAGAACGTTTCCTCTTCTATAAATAGGAAAGGTTGTGAAATGTTTCAATGAGACCAAACCATGAGAACTTCCGTATGCCTACCTTTTTAGGATGTTGAGGGTATTCTTTAGTGAGATTGTCTTTATTGGCAACTGTCCATTTAAGTTTTAGAATCCCGAAAATGGTTTTGAACAAGATTTTTTTAGGTTCAAACAGAGTTTCAGTTGAAAAACCGTTATGTAGTTTGGTATATTGAGTTGAATCGGTCTGAGTTTGATCAATTTGGACCGATAAAGGAAGCATTTTCCTTTCAGCACATACATTTGAAACTCCTATGATTTTTCAAATTGTTTCTAATAATATTATAAATAAGTTACCTAAACATGAAATTATAATTGTTTGAAAAATAAATTTGATTCAAAAACACGAAACATATACAAACCGGGTTTCAATAGAAAAAACGTTATGTAGTTTGGTATATTAAGTTGAATTGGTCTGAGTGTGATCAATTTGGACCGATAAATGAAGCATTTTCCTTTCACCACATACATTTGAAACTCCCATGATTATTCAAATTATTTATAATAATATTATAAGTTACATAATGTTATATAAATATAAAAAAATCTAACTAAACATAAAATTATAATTGTTTGAAAAATCACTTTGATTCAAAAACACGAAATATATACTCGATTATATTTTATAAATGAATTCATTTTATAATGACATTTTGAATCATGAAAATACATATAAACAAACTTTCTATATCAAGTACCTAACTGAATTTATGATTTTAGGATTTAACAAAAAGTTATTCAATAAAAACTTAATTTTTTATAGCAACTTACGAGATTACTGAAAAATTGAACTATTGCACAATAAATTTTCTGGATAACGTTTTATTTTTATTATTTAATATTTTATTTAACAAAATGAAATTATTGGCAAATAAAGAAATGAGTTTAATTAAAATGTTTTCATCCCACATTGATCGTGAGAGTAAACAAGAGAATGTATTCTCCTCTATAAATAAGAAAGGTTGTGAAATATTTCAAAGGGACTAAGCCATGAGATCTTCATTGCATCTAACTTTGTAGGACGTTGAGTGTATTCTTTGGTGAGATTGTCTTTGTCGACAAGTGACCAATTAAATTTCAGAATTTCGAAAATGATTTTGGACCGTATTTTTTAGATTTGGATCGAGTTTAATAAGGATCCGAGTGTCTTCTGGCTGAGTTAGGCAAACTCGCTTCCATTGGAGGCCGAGTTTAAGTAACATGCCGAGTATTTGGTTGTGTTAGCCAAGTTTTACAACCCTGTATGTAATACAATTTAAAGTTTTAACCTTATAAAAGACGTCACTATTATCATATGTTCTACATAATTATGATAATATTTATGATACAAAACATTTTTTTTACTATTTAAGGTAAAAAGTTGTCTCTATTATCATATGTTGTACAGAATGATAAAATTTAAGATAGATAAAAAGATGTCTCTATTATCGTATTTTCTACATAATGATAATATTTAATATAAACGTTTTAATTTAATATGAAATTATTATTTAATAGATAACAATAACGATTTATTTATTTAAATTTTTTTTTCTATTTTAATCATATAACTTTGTATAGGCAAAACAACTTCAAGTTCCAACCTTATCTCTTATAATATAGTTCAACATAATAACAATACTAAAAATCATTTTTTATATTTTTTATGAAATTATTATTTAATTGTTAATAACAATGATTTAGTTATTTTTAATATAAAATATTTTTTTATATCCCACGCAACGCGCGGGCATTCGCCTAGTATCTTATAAAGCTAGCATTTTTCTAAGCATCACATTGATTTGAAACTCCTTTGCCCTTTCATATTCTTCTCAAAACTTATAAAAGAGGCAAATTTCCAAGCACCATATTGATTTGAAACTCCCATGTTTTTTCATATTCTCCAATGACTTTTCAAATGCATTTTAGTAATGATTATTAATTGCTTATACATTAAACATGTTATATAAGTTGTTACATGTGATTTATGAATCTTTGTTTCTCTTTTTAGTTCTTACTTTCCTAAACATCTCACTTTGAGTGAAATTCTTTCTGCATCTTCTTAGTTTATAATGTCACCAACTTGAAACATTACAGTTTTAGCAACATTACACCACACTTCTCCAATCACTCATGTAAGAAGAATGTTGATTACATTGTGTTTTTATATAGAAAAGGCAAAATATGATTTGTTGTGTTATGGATTTAAAAAAAAATGGTGGTCGAATGTTGTATATTTAATTGTAGTGGATGTAATATTAGGATTTGGTTCATAATATTCTTTTTATATGTTAATATCCTTTTGTTTATGTTATATGGAGATTATTGTGCAATGTGGGTGGTTGTGTGGTAACTTTATGTTTGTAATTGTATTTTAGTTTTCATTTATGGGTGGTTGTAATTGTACTTTATATTTGTAATTGTATTTTAGTTTGTATTTTACTTTGCGTTTATGGTGTTTACGGGAAGAAAAATATGAGAATGATCGATACTTTGATTGTTGGCGTTTTTTTGTTGTATGCATCGTATCCACGTTAAGCATAGGTGGACATTTAACCTTATGGTTTATTTTATGATAGAGTAAAAAAAATTATATTTGTTTTATTTAGGTACCTTTATCTTTGTTTTGAAAAAGTCTTGCTACACAAGTTTTATCTTTGTTCCACGTATATAGAAGAAATTCTAAAAATGTTTACCTTTTTTTAATATTGGAATGCGATTGTCCTTTCTATTTTTTCCCTTTGGTGTACGACACAAATGAATACAAGTAAGATTTAAGATAATTAGCATTATTAATAACTTTATTTATAAATAACTTAAAATTTCATCCAGTTGTAGTATATGAAGTATTTTCAACCAAATGCCCAATTTCCTTAACAATTAAACACCAATAGATGTTTATAATTCTCATTTTATTAACAAATATTGTTTTTTCTATGATAAGTAAATAAAAAGTGTTATAACTATTTTCTTAAAACAACATGATAACAATAATAGTTTAAACAACATAAATTAAAAAAAATAGATTATGATACATTGGAAAAACGATTCATGTTTGAAATTAATCATAAACAAAATAAAAAAATGTTTAAATAAATGGTTTTCTAATTAACAATGTCAATAGTTAAAAAATGTATCAAATAAAAAACTACATTTAACTAACTAAATTCACACACAACATATGAATGAATACCATTGAGATGATATGATCCTAAAATACATCTATCTAAATTGATTGACCATAAGTAGATGCTATTATAATGATTTGGTTTTAATATATATATATATATATATATATATATATATATATATATGTGTGTGTGTGTGTGTGTGTGTGTGTGCATGTATGTATGTCTTATGGTATATTTAAACTAATAATAATATTTTATAACATCTTAGTGCAATATTCATTTGAAACCCCCTATGTTAATTAATACCACTCAAAATTCTTCTTAATAAGGACTTAAACACTCAAAAGTTTTATAACATATATATTATGTTTAATATGCATTTAATGAAAATATTACTATAAAATGTCAATCTTTTATGTAGACAACCATATAAATCACATACAATTGAAAAAGAAAACAAACTTAAAGATTTTTGTGTTGGCTTGAAGTATTTTGACCGTTTTTTGAAATATTTTATTATGGTAGAGATTTTAATTTATATATTTGTTATATGTTAATTATTTTTTTTATAATTTTTTTGGTTATAGTATTCTTTTAATACAATTGTTGTATGTTGTGGTTGAATCGTTAATGTAAATTATATTGTATACATGTTATCGATCATATATTATATATGTTGCTTCAAAAAATAATTAATTAAAATTCATGTTTTTTTTTAACGATAAATACAAATTTATACTAAACTACTCCTAAATTATTCCACCTATGTCCACAGTTTAGTTAATATTGTTGGATTGATTCAGTTCATTTTGTAGTGATTTGGTTTTTGATGAAAACCATAAGGGAATCATATGTATTCGGTTAATCAATATTAGAAATCACACCATCTTTTGGTAATGGTCCGATTATAATGGTTCAATCCTATTGGTTGATTGGGTTTTGGTGTGGTTTTCGGTTAATATGTTCACCCTCAATATTTTGCATGTAAGTCTCTTTTGAAATTCAAATCGTCAATCTTATCATGTTATACTAATCTTGAGCAACGCGCGAGTATACGCCTAGTATTAAATATGTATTTTGGATACGCCATGTCTACTTTTCTTACAACTTATTTTATGACATTAGTCTAAAAAAATAATTATATAAATATATTAAGCAAATGTATAAATGTTTGAAGTTCACATTTCAAGAATATAAAAGATAAGACATGAACACAAACACAAAAACAACCAAAAGGAAATACAAAATAGCAAAACCAAATAAAAGATACTTTTATTCATCAAGGTACGTGTGTTAATGTAATAATAACACAACCAAATTACATTGCAGGACAAATTTCAGGGAAAGGAATACCACACTTTTCAGTGATTTTGCGAAGAAATTGGTGATTTGGTGGCAATGTTGGGTGATTAATGTCTATGTATTGGCATAAACAATTTCTATGGTGAACTAATTCTTGGCAACAAAGTGAAGAGGGTGATCCCTTTGAAATTAAAGCTGGATAGCAATCCTTTATCTCTTGATTGGGAGTACAAACTTGAGCATAAACATCACCCAAAAGAAGCATCATTGCAACAACAATAGCAAGAACAGAAGTCGTGTTCTTCATTTTGAAATATTGAAGTGATAACTTGAGGGAGATGAATATGAAGAATGTGAAATTAAACTTGGGTTTTCATTACATCCACTGTGGTATAAATACTAATTACAAATCAAGAGTTAAAGCTACAATAAATCTTTTAAACTAGGGAAGTGCTAATATCATGGAAAGAATACTAGCAATATATAGTACCATATAAAGAAGGAATTATATAAATATTAAAGAAGGAATCATGGGTAGTAATTATTAGGATGATTGATTTCATTAACAATCGTAACCGGTGAATATTGTCCCAAATTAAAGATGCATTGAAAGATCTAAAATTAACAATAATTCAAAAATTATAAGGTACTAAAATTTACAATAAACTAAAATTACAATTACAATAAGCTATAAACATATATTTCTTACATTTCAAAAATAAAAAAATAAAAAAATAAAAAAATAAAAAACAATTGTTCTTTTGTAATGTGATATATTAAAAAAAAGACAAAACATCAAAAATGGTCCCTGTGGTTTTCGAAAATATCAAGTTTAGTCCCTCAGTTCAAAAAACCTCACAGATGGTCCCTGTGGTTTCAAAACTTTTAACAAATGGTCCTTTTCGCTAACCCCGTTAGCTTTTGGTCGTTAAGTGAAGGGCATTTCTGTTATTTCACTACCACAGGGACCATTTATGAAGTTTTTGCCTTATTTAAAATATATATATATATATATATATATATATATATATAATTATTTAATATTAAAGGGTCCTACCCTCTCTCTCTCTCTCTCTCTCTCTCTCTCTCTCTCTTCCCTTCCCGTTTTTCTTCATCACCGGCCAAGAAGAGGCTGCCGACCATCGGGAAAAACACCTTTCCCAGCCTCCTCCATCGTCGTCCTTCGAATCTGTGATGCCGACAAGAGTAGAAAACGGGCAAAACACGTCGACCACAGTCGACTTCCTCCACCGTCGTCCGCCTCCATCTCGACGCTGTAGGCACTCAAACTGTGTTTGAGTTATGGGAGAAACTCGAATTATTGTTTCTACAACAAATCTCAGCCAAGAAAATACATCTCCAAACTCGAATCCATCAGATTAAATAAGGCACAAGGAAAATCGATTGATTATTGCAATGAAATTAACACTATTGCACAATCGTTGGCTTCAGTAGGTGTTAAAATTGACGATTATGACCTAGTTATACATGCTTTAACCGGTATATGAACAAAGACTGATGCGAGAATCACATAGTATTTGTTTTCATCTGGGTCAGAATAAGAACTCAATCCCTAATGAAGGGAGGTCGAGGAAGCATCAATTTTGGAAACAATTGTCAAATAAGTAACAAAATGGGCATATGGCTTTGATGTGCTTCTGGAGGTTCGATAATGGTGGAAATCAAGGTCGAGGTCTGCCTAACAATGGAGGCTTTCGTTGAAATAGTGCTTCGTTTCGTGGTAATCGGTATTTTAGAGGTGGTAATGGCAATCATGGTGGTCGAATACCTTCACCTTCAGTGACAGCTATGTGTATGGCGGTGACTACGGCGGCTATAAGGTTGTATCAATTTCAGAGGTAGTTTAATTAAGGTATAAATAAGTCCGATGGTTTATGTAGTGCAGGTGAGGAACAAAAAGAACAAGATGGGGTGGGGGAAGTAGGTGTGGTTTCTTTTTTTTTATTTTTTATTTTTTATTTTGAGAGAGAGAGAGAGGGGTGGGACCCTTTAATATTAAATAATTATATTTTTTTCTTTTTTTTTAAATAAGGCAAAAACTTCATAAATGGTCCCTGTGGTAGTGAAATAACAGAAATGCCCTTCACTTAACGACCAAAAGCTAACGGGGTTAGCGAAAAGGACCATTTGTTAAAAGTTTTGAAACCACAGGGACCATCTGTGAGGTTTTTTGAACTTAGGGACTAAACTTGATATTTTCGGAAACCACAAGGACCATTTTTGAAACCACAAGTCCGGAATGTCAAGAAAATGATTTCTTTTTCACTAAAATCTTACATCAAAGTTAAATAAACACATCAAAAGCGAAGTAGAGACGATACAAAAACATTAAATTTATCATTTTGTTGAAAAACTCTATAATAGATATTTTTGATTTTAGAAGCTAAAAGCTTCTAAAAATGGTTGATGCAAATCAAAAAATTAAAAATTCATATTATAGATCATTGAAATTCGAACGATTTCACAAATGGTGGTTATTTTTGTAAATAGTCAAAAGTAGTTATTTCTCCGAATCTTCGAAAATCATTTGGACATTTTTATAAGGGTTTAGGTCACTGAACTTTATGAGTGTTTTATTTTGGTCATTATATTTTGTTTAAGCTATCATTAGTTACTGAACTTATTTATTTGTGTTCGTTTTAGTCCCTCTAACCAATGATAGTCGGTGTATAACATTGAACGACGTTGTCAAGGTTATAATTAGTGAGGTTTGCGATGAAATGGAATGGAATCATCTTGATCTCTTCTTTAATGAAGATCATCGATCTGTGAAAATGAAATCCCAAACACGCCAACAATCTGGTTTTGTTTTAGGGTGGCAGCTGGATGGGCAGATGCATTTAGGCGATTCTCATAACCTTCAATATGTGCTCTTTAATGGGGTTTTTTGGATCTGGAACCTTTGGATATTAATTTGGATATGAAATGATGGGTTTTTTTTATCCATTTGATGGTTATGGTTGGAGTCCGAATTAAGGTGTCGGCATTGAGGGATAAGGATAGGAAAAAGAGAGTTCTGACCACTCGTCGGTCTCATGTACTATCGAATGAAGGTGGGTGACAAGTGGTATGATTGTGGTTAATGTTGATGGTTATGGGTAATGGTGATTGTTTTGGTGGTAAGTGGTGTGGTGGCATATGGGTCGTGATTGTGGTGATTGGAAAAATGATTGTGGTAGGCAGTGGTGGTGATTGGAAAAAGTGATTACAGTAGGTGGTAACTGGCGGTGGGTGGTGGCAATAAGTGGTGACACTAGGTGTATGCTCTTAAATGTGTGTGTATTTTCTTGAGTATATTTTGTTTTTTATATAAAAAATTTTAAAAAATAAAAACAAATAGTATTTTTGTCATTTCACAAACACATATTAGTTATAAGGACTAATTGTGTGCAAGGTTTGATCTGTAGGAACCATCCATGCAAAAAAGGTTTCATAAGGACTATTTTAGGGACAACTGAAAAGTTTAAGGACCATTTGTGAAATTTTGTCTTTTTTTTTAATTTTTTTATAAATGATAATACTAAAGCAGAGTGATTAGAATGAAATTTAATATATATATATATATATATATATATATATATATATATATAGTTCAAATAAAAACAGTAAATAGTGTGAGAACGTAAAAACACTATTTTATGTTATTATTCTGTAATGAATTTTGTATCCACAGCTTTATGTCATTATTCGCCAATGAATAAAAGAACAGTCATATGTTAAAACTTAATTAGATTTTTACTACAAAAATACACATACATGAATTTATAATAGAATAATAACATTCTAACGAATATATGAACAATCAAATGTTAATATTCATATTAAAATTACTTCAACAACACACATATACATCATTCATTACAGAATAATAACATAAACATAGTGTTTTTACGTTCTCACATTATTTGCTGTTTTTATTTGAACTTACTTCTATATATATATATATATATATATATATATATATATATATATATATATATATATATATATATAATGACAAAAATAAAACAACGAGAAGAGTTCAATGACTAATTATAATATTGACGAAGTTGTTCCATATTATAAACTGGCTATCACCGTTTATAGTGACTAAAACGAATAATAATAATAATAATAATAATAATAATAATAATAATAATAATAATAAGTTCAGTAACCAATGATAACTTAAACAAAATATAATAACTAAAATAAAACTCAAAAAAATAGTGAATAAAAATGACTTAAAACCTTTTATAATTGTCCCTATATTACTTGATTCTCAATTTAAATTTACCATGTTATATTAATATATTCCATGATTGATGAAGAAACCTATAGCACGTATACAACTTGGGAGGGTATATTATGTAGACTTAGGGTCCGTTTGATACCCATCTGACTGGGTTTGAGTCAGCAAATTGGGCTGACTCGGTCAGACCTTAGATGTTTGATGGTGTGCTTTCTCAGAAAGATATCTGGCTCAATAATCTTACCCGGTCAACTTTGTAACATATGCTGACTGGGAATAAAGACAATTATGCCCTTGTATTCTTTCTTCCATCGTTACCATTCTTTCGTGACCTAAAAAAAAGTGCCGACAGAAAAACACTGCTCCTCCAGCTCGCTTCCATCTCGCAAGTCGCTGCCATCACCTCGTTCGCTGCCATCTCGCCACCGTGTAGCCACAATCTCATCGGTCAACAAGAGCTCGCCATCTCCGATTAGTTTTTCGATTTCTTGTCATTCAACCGCTACAATTCATCAAAACAGGTAAGAATATTCTCCTTTTATGTATAATCTATAAATTCAGAATCCGATTTGCTTAAAAACTCTAAAAAAATCATCCAAATCCGAATCCAAAATCCAATTTTGATGATGCGCATATGTTATGCAATTGCTATGGAATTCACTCATGTTTTGCTTGTAGAGTATAGATGTATATGTATAAGGAAATACAATATAGAAGATGACTTGTTTAGAAATTTTGAGGACACTATGGTTACTCCTGACGTCCAAGGTTGGGGAATTGATAGAGAAAACATACAAGGCATAGAATGGGGTCCAGAAGCCGTTGAATATATGCGTGTTTTGCGTGATCAGATTACAAATCGACTACTTTCACCTACTTTACATTAAATTATTATGTTATTTTAAATTTCATTATGTTTTTATTTGAATATTAAATGATTTATGTTTAATTTACATTTTGTATGACATTTTTATTTGTGTGTAATTTACATTTTGTATGACAATATGTATGTTTTTATAATTATTCAGCAACTTAATCAATCACTATATATAACAGCAGGCTAAAATGGTCATTTTTCATCACTCAGCACATTCAGTCAGATGTACAATCAAACAACAAGATTTCTTACTCAGTCAGGATTTCTTACCCAGACAGACATTTCCCAATCAGCACTTTCTCAGTCAGCAACTATCAAACAGGACCTTAGACCAACATAAAGAATTTGAGTCAAATCCATAGTCTAGCACTTGTTGAATGGGTATGGTAATCTAGAAAGGTTGAGCAAATCATAACAAGATTATTCAAGTCCATGATGTTACGAGAAAAGTCTCAAACAAACATTTCCAATAAATTCATGTCACATCCAAACCTTGTAAAAAATAACAAGGTCTTCAAATTTGACCCATATTTATTTAAATAATTAGTACGATTTTAATAGTCATTTGATCAAAGTAGAAGATGTTTATAAAATTTTATATTTATTTTCAATGATCAATTTTTTCTTTATAATTCTGTTCAGAATCTGTTTAAAAAAAATAATAATAAATAAATAAAACCTCCGATATACAAATCAATGGTCCAAGGTCTAGAACCAATAAGAAGAAATCAAACTTTTCCGCGATGATTCGCGAATTTATATATGTAATTAAATGAGGCGGCGCGGATAAAATTGTTATTAATGTTAATCGGACAAAAAGTTTATAAAGACCATGCAATACTCACTCTTCTCGTTTGTGTAAAAGACATTAACGCCCTTCTCATATTCGTCATCGAAAAATAGCTTTAGTAGTGTAAAAAACACAACCTATCATCATTATTTTACAAGCACATGACCCTAAAAACAAACTATGGACCAATGTCCCTAACCAATATCACAATTCACAAATACTTTCATAACTATAAACCCCCTTTCAAACAAGATTACAAAAACAAATACAACTTTTAACCATTTCATATCTTAGAAGCTATTCAAAGTTATTTTCAAAATACACTAAGGTTTGACAGAATAACTGAAAAGCTAGCTGCTAACTGAATCCATAACATGATCCTTACGCTTTAATTGCAACGTCATTCGCTCATTCTCCAACATCAATCTCTCATTCTCCAATCTTGAAACTTCCAACTCACGATCTTTCCTATCACAAAATCTCTGCCATTTAAACCGCCTTTTCTCCATCTCAAATGCTTCACTTTCAATCCCAATTCTTTGTTCATGCAACAACACCATTCGCTTCATAACCCATTCTTTCTTTTGCACTTTGGAATTCTTAACATCTTCAAAAAACTCATTCATCTCATCAAAAAATACATTTACATTATGAGTGTTACCTTTTTCTCTTTCCCCATCATCTTCACTTTCATCATCATCTTCACTCTCATCATCATCCTCATGATCTGAATCATCATCCTTTGAAGATTGCCCCACAATGGGTGATGACTCGAGTTCTGTGCAATTCGGGATCTTTTGACCATTATGGTAAGCACACATTTCTGGGTAAAAAAGATGCTTTGAACTCAAGATCTTTTTCACATCTTCTTTCATTTTTGGAGATAAACGTGGGATTGAATCCATTATAGATGGGTTTTCAACAACTCTACATGAAGTTCCTCTTCCAAGAATATCGTTTAATCGTTTGTACCTTTTGTTTAAATCGTTGAATTTGTCCTCGCATTGTTGTGGTGAAACTTGGCATCCTTTTGAAACCATGATTTTTGAAACAGATTTCCATTTTCCTTTTTTCTGTAAGCATCCGGAGGATTTCCGAGTTGAACCACCGTCAATGGCGCCATCGTCGTCTCCGACAGAAGCCACGATCTGGATCAAAAGTCTGACTCTGCTATCTGACCATTTCATTCGCTGCCATTGTGATGAACTTCCCTTTCTACCTTTCGCCCCACTTCCGTCTTCCATGAAACTTGGTTCATCTTCGTCGCTCATGTTGTGATCGTTCAAGCTACCATCAGATTTTGGTTTCCCAAAACTTAGATAGGACGTATTAGGGTTTAGAATCTTGGTTTCCATGAACAGATTGTTTGCCATCGATTCGATTCGTTAGATTCAGAAAACGAAACGAAGAATTTAAGAAACCCGGATCATAGTGCACTCATCAATTGTATTGAAATCAACAATCTCTAATCGGAAATACAATCACTTTTAACTGAATTAACTAAAAGAATTCAAGAAAACCCTAAAAGATAGATCGGTAATGGTTAGCCTTAAACCTCCCACCCCCATAAGATCAAGATCGAAGTAGATAAACTTACTCAGATAAGCATTTTGAAAATGTTACCTGACTAGTGTTCATGAGGATTTCTGCAGAGAGATTTTGTAGTAAAAAGGGGCTTTGCTTTGTGCAAGTTAGAAGGAAACATTGTAGGCATCCAATGAGTCAATGGGTTGGTGACTTGGTGCAAGGGATATTTTCACAAAACCCTTTAAGTTTGGCGATTAATAGTTTTATCATATTTACGCCTACTATTTAATATTTATAAGGGTTTTGTTATTTATGGAAGGTTATCAAGATCGAGATCTAATTTTTATTTTACGTTTTGTAAGATCGTAATCGTAAAATTAGATTAGGATCAAAATATGATACAAAAATAAGCTTATATTAATTTGTTCGCAAGATATTAGGTATGAAGTGTACATTAAAACTTGATGTTGATTGAGAAATCGATAATGTAATCAATTTTAACTTCTTAAGTATGAACCATAATTTTTTTTTGCTACAATCAATAAAAGTTAAAAAGAAAACATCTTAATTAAAATAAAATCATTTTGATCATGTACAACTAAAGACATAAGACTCTTTCCAAAAAAAAAAGACATAAGATCACAAAAAGATTATTATGAGTGTGCTCTACCTGGTTGGAGATGTATTGATGAACTAGTGATGCTTTACAAAACTTTTTTCAGCTTGTGATGATCGATTTTAATTTGAATAGACGGATTTTTAATACTCGGCTATATAACAAAACTACAAATGTGATATCGTGATCGTAGTGTGATAGTTGTCGCTTTTTACTTGTAGGATCTTAAAAACGTAAGATTTTAAGATCAAAATCGGGATTCTAACAACCTTGATTTATGGCTTTTATCATGGTATGACTATATTTGTCAGTTGCATATGCCTTGTCGGAAGCATGCCATCTTTTAACAACATAAAGTTGCAATCTCACTTTATTACCCTTTTATTGTATCTTCTTTCTTCCTTAACTCTTTCTTATTTTCTTAGTTCATTCTTCATGAATACAAAAGGGCTAACAGACTTGTGGATCGATTCTTAAACATGTCCTTGTGTCATTCTTTCTGGATTTAAAGGAAGGACTACACACTAACAGAACTTCCCTGAATCCATGTTCTTCAACTTCTTGATAAACCATACATAACAGGAAGAACATTGGATCATCTATTCTGATTTTTCTTACCATGTAACATACCCTAATTTTCATAACCAAATAAAATATTTTTTTTATGCTTTAAATACCATGTTGTCTTTGTTGCGGAAAATCCCAGTTTAAATAATACATTTTGATATAACAAATGATGTTTCAAAATACCAAAAACCCTAAGGATGTCATAATTAATACACAACATGAATTATAACGTAAAGACATATCAGTCCTAAATACTATTGCAAATTGTACATCCTAATCAAGTTCCAACAGCCTTAGCACCGCTACCTGTGATGCATATAATTTGAGTGGGTCATGTTTGGGAACGTGGTGAGCCACATAGGATATTCAATCCCACAATATTACTATGATAATAACTCATAAATAATAATCCTGCAAAACCAATTGTTACCAAACAATATAGATATATCACACAACATAAATATTTATAAGACACTATACCATTTACCCTTAGTTACCCAACCCGTCGATTCTCTCACGTTGATCCTATAACAATGATCCCTTGAGATCTAACCTAATGGATATCCGTAAGCAACGAGTAGACTATACTACTTTGGGGATTCCTTAGCAATTGAGTCAATAAAGGCAACCACGAAGGGATAGAGTACCCGAATGAACACACAATCCATTTTCCCTATATATATATATATATATATATATATATATATATATATATGATTCATTAACACCTACAGATTATGAGTTTACTAGTGTTCCATAAGATTGTCTAGAATATTCAGTGGTCGTTATCTATACTTTGCTAGATGACTAGTCTCGGTAGTACAATAGCAAAAATTTAGTCGTGACCTCACACCATTATTTTATCTTTCACTCCCCTTCACTACCCAACATAAATTTACAAGTAACTCATGTACGTAACTCGACATATGATAGCGCCACAGAACAGAGTTATACTCTTCGTTCCAATCTCACACACACCCCTATAATGATACTACTCACTTATTCAACTTACTTTGAACTAATCATCATTTATAAGTCTTAGTTTATAACCAGACAAGACTACAATACTTGTAATCAACTTCCAATACAATTTCATGTGTATGCAATACTATCATTATATAGGTATACATTTAGCACAAAATTCAAACATTCAATATACATTTAATCTTTTAAGTAATAATCCTTCTATTAAGATTTTCATGTAATATTACCAAATATACACTTAAGACATATTCCAGACAATAGGCATTTTGTTCATATATAAGCATTCAACTTATCTTAATTACTTTTATTAAAAATCATTCTTATGAAAGTAACAATGCATTTATTGTACAAGTCATGTAACATTATCATATATACACTTGACAGTTTATTCCAAATAATACTCAGTATCAGTACACTTATAAGCAATAAATTGGTATTTAATACTTTTAAATAGCAGATCTGTAACAACCCAATTTTTCCAAAGAAACTTTTAATTTTTAAACAATAAAAACATTTCCAATAAATCATAAAATCTCAAGAACAATTGTTTTCAAATTCATAACATCAACATTTTATTTCAAATATCAGAGTGTCCCATAAAAACGCATGAGAAAGTGCATGCCGCGCCATCAAGCCTTGCCATTGCCTTTAGGCTCAGAAGTACCTGAAACAAATCAACGAACTGTAAGCTAATGCTTAGTGAGTCCTCCAGAGCATACCCCACACAATCCATATAATCACATAATCCACATTAGCCATAAAAGCTACATAAACCACATAAGCCATGCATATCAATATAGAAGGATGCCATGGAAACCCTCAAAGGTCTTATACCTAATGTCATTGGAACCCCTACGTGGTCTTAACTACCTGCCATTGGAACCCCCACATGGTCTTCCTGCCATGGGATCCCCCACATGGTCTTCACTAACTAAGAAAATATCATACAAGCTAAACATGCAAATATACTAGGATGCCATGGAAACCCTCCAACGTCTTACACCAAATGTCATGGGAACCCCCCACATGGTCTCAATACCAACATAACACATAATCAATCAATAATCCACATATCATAAAATGGGCCAGGCTTGGTGCCTTAGACCCATTGGTATGGTGAGAAGACTCACCTCAAATGCAAAATGTAGCTGAACTGATAAGATCAGATCAGATAAGTCCCAACGTGCAACTCCAGCTCAATTGCCTACAATCATCATATGACTACTTGTAAAAATCCAAACGTACCAATAACATCCTCAAAGTCAAACTTGGTCAACCATGGTCAAATTCAGGGTCAACAGTTAAGGTCAACAGTCCTTGTTGACCCAACTCGTCGAGTGCATCTAGCAACTCTCTGAGAGTCTTCTCTGCTTCGTCTCCTACGTCACCCATGGTTGAAATTTCAGATTCTGAAGGTTCTGGTGTTTCAGATTGGGTTTCAGAAGAATCTGTTTTCTCATATTTTACTGGGGTTGGTGGAGTGTATGTTTTATAGGGGCTTTTAAAAGAAGAAGATAGGGGTACTTTTGGAAAAATGGAAAAGTTGGATCTGGTTCGTTCCACAAGGGACTGCCTTGTGGTGTGGTGATTTCTGGAGGTACTGAAGATGATGAACCAAAGAAACCAGATGAATGTTTTTTCTTTGTTGCTTCTTTCTTCAATTTCCTTACAGTTCTTTCAATTTCTGGATCAAAAGCTAGAGGTGTACTTGTACGAAAATTTCTTGGCATAAAACTATTAGAAGCATCGTATCCCCGACAATGGCGCCAATTTGTTAACACATTGTCACGGGCATATTAAGCAAATAATGTTTCACTGCTGGTTGCACTAAAAACATAGCACATGAAAGCAGGATCGAATACTCAGGGACACAACCTAACGATCAATGCCTTTTTGCTTCAGGTACATTCTAGTCGATAAACAAAAATTATAAAAATGGGGATTTTGATTAAAAACTAAAACGAAAAATCGCAGTGAAAATAAACTAAATAAAACTCAATAATAAAAACGAATTTAGCTCTGCTGTGACTTTCATAATCATGCAATAAATCCAGATCTGATTATTCAGAATGCGTTCTATCTAAGCTGATACTGAGAAAAACTAACAAGATTTAGTATAATATCTTTTACCTAGTTAAATTAACCAAAACAAGCTCTTCAATTAACCCTAATTTTCACTGTCTAATTAAACAAACTCTTAACTAAGATTAGAAAAGTTGCATTAAATTTTGTGTAAAATTCCCAGCAATACCCAATACTTCTCACAAGCTCGGAAGCGTAAAGGTATGATTTTTTTCAGTTTATATCAGAGTTAAATCCCAAACTCGGAACCAATTTGATACTTGTTACTTATTACCAGCTGACAAGAACAATTACAAATTATATTAACTGATTAACTGGAATGATAAAACCCTAGGTAGGTGATCAGACTAACAAGAATTTAAAATCAAATGTTGATTAAGTTCAAAACTGAAACAACTAGATAGAATCACATAAAGAAAACCAGATCTGATAATTGATCACATGAAAAGTACTAGTATAATGCAGAACTAAAAACTAGGGTTTTAGCCAGACATAGCTAAAAACGAATCTAAACTAATAAAAAGAAACATTAACTGAATAATCTTCTAAACGAAGTGTATGAGATGATTCACAACCTTCAAATATCCAGAAATCACT